GTCTTTTTTTTTCTCTCTGTGCGGTCTGGGAAACGTAAAAATGGCTGAAACATAAGAATGTTGGGTATTGTGGGCTTTGGCACCCAAAAAATAATACATGAGGCCTACTCATATCCCCTTTAATATTTTGGGGCCTAAACATAATTTTCCCTATTTTTATTAGTTTATTTATTATATAATACATTATTAACATATTAAATATTGGTTATGTTATTATATCATTATATAAGATATTTTATTTATTATATTTTTATATTATTTAATAAATATCACTAAAATATTAAACTAACTATAATATAGCATAGGAAATTTTTTTAAATAGACCGATTTTATTAAATATTTAGCAAAATCGATCATTTTGCTAAATATTTAGCAAAATTGACCATTTTGCTAAATATTTAGCAAAATCGACCTCTTTTTGGCCAATGGGTCAAAAAGAGGTTGAATTTAAAAAACAAACTCCAGAAAATATACGCGACTAATAGTTCCGTATGTTTAACTAAATTAGCGACAGAAAACATATGGGACCCGTGAACCCGTGTGTTTTTTGTGTTTTCCAAGCTGCATCTACTCTGTTGACATCCTCCCAAATCCCTACCCAAATCCCTACAAAACACAATCATAGAGAACAAGCCTCCATCTTCTTCATTCTCCTCTTCAATCGCTTCTTCAGCGGTTCCAATGGGTACAGAGTTTTGACGCGACGGTGGGATCATGACCGAAGAGAGGGAGGTGGTGGCAGAGAGATTGCCAGAGGAGGGGAGGATGGTAACATCGTGTCAGCAGGGAGAGAGAGGGATCGAGGTTTCGATCTCTATACTTCTCTTCATCCTCTCTCTCTCTTCTCCAAAATTCCTCAAGCTCCTACGTCCACCTGCCAAATACACTCATCTCTGCTGCCATATCTAAGCAGAAATCATGAAAACCTAGGTCTAATTCCTATCTCTCCCAAGTTTGATCCATTTTCTTGTATTTTTTTATTATTTTTTTGCTGATCGATATAACTTTTTGACAGAGCTTTCATGTAAGAGGTTTCTTGACCGCGGAAGAATGCGATCATCTGATATCTCTCGTGAGTTTGAATTTTTCCTGTGTACTTTTGTTTGAAATTGGGATCTGAGTGAATTGAGAACTAGTTTGTGGTCTTGATGATGTTTTTGGATGTTGAAGTCGAAAACAGAGCTGAAGAGATCGGACTGGGGAATCATTTTAAACACAGAAAACATACGGGACCAGTGTTGTCGTATGTTTTCTGTCACTAATCAAGGATTAGTTAGCTCTAAACATATGAGACTACTAGTCCCGTATGTTTTCTGGAGCTTGTTTTTCAAAACCGACATCCCAAAAAGAGGTCGATTTTGCTAAATATTTAGCAAAACGGTCGATTTTGCTAAATATTTAGCAAAATCAGTCTATTTTAAAAAAAATCCTATAGTATAGTATAGTATAATATAATAAATATGTTGATAATAACTTTATATTAATTACATTTAATATATTATGTTAGATATTACATTAACACATTCTCAAACTCAAAACCAAAACACCAAACTTAAAACACCTAAAAGGTGTTTTGAAATAAGTATTGTATTTTTGGTTTAATGATGATTTAGCTCAAAAATACTATGGTTTCTAAACACATGATGTTTTGTTTTTGATAAAAACACTATAAAAACAAGTAAAACACCATGGTTTACCAACGGAGCCATAGATATTTCTTTAAAGCCTAGCCCGTTTGTCATTTTGGACGAATAAGAACCTAGGCTCCAATAGCCCCATATAAAGCCTTTTCTGTTTTCTTCTGAATCCAAAAGAAACAAACTTTTTAGAAAACGATAAAGAGCACTTAAAAAAATGATACCACAAGGGCATGTTTGGCTGAATTCCCATAAACTTCCTTATGGGAAAAGACACATGGGAAATAAGTGGTGAGAGTCACTTTTTTATTTCAAGCCTATCTTCGGTTCATTTTTTCTGGAAATGGTTCTTTTTTTGGGTTCCAATTTAACTATTTACATCTTTGAAGGTGAGTCTCACATACACATTTTTTTCTTATTTCTTTTTTCTTAATCAAAGTGTGAAGAAAACTTTAACGGGAAATTATATTTCTGTAATTATGTTTTCTTAATTTCTTTGACAACCGAACCTGCCTTAAAATCTCTTACTTTTGGCTTCCTTACTTTTGCTCGTTTACCTTGATTGTACATTTTTCTTGTAAGGAAATTACTTTCAGAAAAGGGATTAACAATAAATCGATAATGATTTTTTTTCCAAACATCTGTACATTTTTATAAGTACATTCAAAAAATAATGTTGGATACCTAATATTAAATTGACTAGTCAAAAGAAAATTAAAGAGAAAGAAGTTTGAAGGTTTTCTCAGAACTAGATGCATAAATGAAGTTTGAAGATCACATTGAAAAATGTTGGCATTAATGATGAAAAATCTAGAGCCTTACTTCACCATTATAATAAGGATAGAGGATATGTCAATTGCGTCAAGTGATCCAAGAAGAGTCTTGATATTTTTTTTACAATTGTTCTCCTCTACCAAATATTCTATAGGTTGTATCAACTTGTGTTCGTGAGTGTCAAACATATTATAGGTGGGTTGGTAGAAGAGGAGTTTGTTAGAACATTGTTCATATAATATTTCTTATTTAATTAATAACAAACTCACATTTGCTACCGATATGCTTTGTAAAATGATGTATTTTAGATATAAATAGGTACGAGCAAGATACATTTCGATATGATGTAAAAAAAAATCAATACGAACATTGATTTTAGCCTTCAAAATATCAATGGTCAACAGTGACCCATCGATGGTCAAGCATCCCATCGAAGGTTATAGAAACCAAATAGAGAAAATAGAAACATGAGTTAGGACCATCGATAGTCTATAGTGCACTATCTATAGTCACAAGGAACCATCAATGGCTATAGGAGACAACCGAAGAAATCTAGAAATCAGAATCAACACCATTGATGGCTACAGTCGACCATTAATGATCACTAACAGATCATCGATGGTCGTGATCCACCATTGATGGTTATAAGACATTTTCGTAGTTTTCACAAGTTTTCAAGATTTAATCTCTACCGTTCGTTGAACCTTTTGATCTCCTATTTGCACTCAGATTTTGATATATCTTTCCTGTTCTATCAAGGTCCATTTAAAGAGAGTTGAAGATCATAATTAAAAGGAGAACAATAAACAAGTTCAAGGAGGCAAATATATAAAAAGGAGAGATCTCTGTTCTAGGGTTTAAGAGAGAGAAGTTGATCAAATCCCCTAAGCCTCATTCAACTTCTTCTCGATGTACTTTTCATCGGAGTTTGACTCAGTAAGAAGGAATGCTATACGCTTACATCAGTACATCACTTCTTCATCGAACTTTATCTTCATCGATTTGAAGAACGGTTTAATAAAGGACACCTATAAGGTTGTTCTTTTTGTGCTTTAATTGTTTTGGTTGGTTATATTCAAACTCCTAAGTTTGACAACATGCTCAACCCGGGGTAAATGAGAATTAGTGTACTCAAGCCAGGGTAATTGAGGGTTTGGCATGCTAGGACTATGTTTCTTCTAATCAATGTGAATAGTTAAGTTAGACGACTAGTTTCAGGTATATTCCAGCAAGCGGTCTTTGAACCCTACTAGATCAGTTTGCGATTCAAATGAACTATGATCATATGAGGAAGACTCTTCATGAGAAGGAAGAGTGGATGTAGGATTTTGATTCGAAGCACTATAAAAATCTTATGTGTTTGTACTGGTTTGCTTTTAGTTTTTCACTTATATATTTCTATTTTTTATTCTGAGTTAATTAAAAAATTATAGCAATTTTATTCATCTCCCTTTAGGCTTGCATCCCAGTTCTAACAAGTGGCATCAGAGCAGTATTACCCATCTTTAGGTATCACACACTAGGGTAAAGATATCAAGCCTTACTATCGCGTCAGTTTGCCCTAAAGGACATGCCGTCAACAGACCCACTCTCTTCAATAGCACCAACTATACGTATTGGAAAATGTGTGAGTTTTTCTATTGTCCATTAGTTTCAACATTTGGGAAAGTGTGGAACATGGGTATAAGGATTCTACTGTCGAGGTAGAAGGTGTTATTGTTGTTCTAACTAAGGACAAGTGGTCTCCGTAGGACAAACAAATTTATTCTTATAATTTAAAAGCCATGAATGCTTTATATTGTCCTCCTACTACTTGAGAATTTAACCATATTTCTAATTATACTGTTTGACAAACAAATTTATTCTTATAATTTAAAAGCCATGAATGCTTTATATTGTCCTCCTACTGCTTGAGAATTTAAAAGCCATGAATGCTGGTGAGGAAATATGATAACCTTAAGATGAAGGCCTCGGAGAGCAAACAGGACATGTTCACACGATTAACCGATATTGCGAATAAATCAAAAGTCTTAGGGGAAGGAATATGAAAGTAAGGAGATGTGTAGAAAGATACTCTATTCTCTATCTTGTGATTGGAAACCTAAAGCAACATCTATCAAAGAGCTTTAAAAATTTTCTAATCTATTTCTTGATGATCTTGTAGATACTCTTATCACATACGAAGTCCAAGCGAAAGAGAGAGAAGATGCCTCAGAAGAAGACTTGAAGAATAAGTTGTTGGCTTGAAGAGCAAAGAAAGAAAAATCCCAATCAAAGAAGAAGATTGAGTCAAGCTCAAGTTTTGAAGATGAGGATGATTAATATGCGCTTATAGTAAAAGGATTCAAGTCTTTTCTTAAATCAAAGAATGGACAGAAATATATTCAGAAAAGACAGATGTAATTCACTAAATAAGTAAACAATAATTCCTCAAGTGATTTTTAAATTGAACCCATTTGTTATCATTGCAGGAAATTGGGTCATTACATGAATCGATGCCCTTTGAATAGAAAGGAAAAGAAGATGGAAGGTAAGAGTCTCAAAGTCACAACTTGGGATTTGACAAATGAGGGTGAATCTAAAGCCGAGTCCAGTGGAGATGACAAACAAATGCGCAAGTGTCTCATGGGAAGAAATGCATTAACTTCAAAAAGTATAAGGAGAGTATTCAAACGAATAGGTATATCCTTTTATGATGAGCTTTATTCTAAAGTATAAGGAGATGTTAATTCATTTGAAAAATATAGCTAAAAATATGAAGAGTCTAGAAAGATGAATACAAATTTAAAGAAAGAAAATAAGCTTTTGTAAAAAAATAAAGTTTTCTTCTTTAAAATTGGATTCGGTTGTTCTTTAAATTTGGATTCATATAATTCATCTCATGATATCACCTCTTTCGTGTGCACACAATGTTTTGAGCTACAAAATCAAATCTATTGCTTGTCTAAGTAAGTTTATAACAATCAATGTGAAAAAGTAAAAACTTATTGCTAAGGTAAATGAGTTATTTTGTGAGCTGTCTTCTGAACAAAAAAAGTTTAAAACTCGATGTACTACTGTTGTTTCTAAAAATGAACAACTAAATATAGGTTGTCTAAAAATCATAATAAATAGCTGATCCCTATCAAACTTCAATCAACATCTTGACAATAAAAGTTATAATCAGACGACTTTCACGTTAATAAAATGAAAGCTGCAATTAGAGGATTTTCAGGTAGATCGAGAAAGGTCACAATTCAACGATCTTCACGATGACTGATGAAAGCTCTAATTCAATAGCCTTCACAATCAACCGTGAGAGTTACAATCTGACGACTCTCACATCCCAAATAGCTAAAGCGAAGATTACAGAACAATGGTCTTTGCAAACTTTCCAATAGAAGAGGTTACAAGTCAACGACCCAATCCTTATGTGAATCTGGAAGATCTACGATCAACTTAAACTTTCCTACCATTTGAAAATGATAATGAGGCTCCTTTTGATTTACCTTTATGGCCACCAAATGAGCGAAGATCTTCAAAGTAGGCCTGATTGCCAACCAATGACATATTACCGTGAATGTCACAACAATGACTATGGTGTTTGGTTTTATTTACACAAACAAAACTCCTAGTGTCTTAAATACTCCTAGTGTCTTAAATAGTTGTTTCAGAATTAGAGGTAGGGGTAATCTTAAACCACACTCCAGGTGTCTCAAGTAGAGAGGATGCCAATCAGGCCCATGGTTAAAAATAACCTCTGAACTCATCGGAGTGAGTAGCTCATATCCTGCAGGGATGTCAAACTTCTTAGACATCATCCTCAATTGAGACAATGTTACTTTGGAATGAATGCATTCCAAAAGATCCCGACGATGAACTGCTTCTAAAGCCATAGAGAAACAGAAGGATAATCGGTAGGAATAATGAGCAAAAGGGCAAGAGAGATTGGGGAAGAAGAACAGTCTATTAGAAGGGAATTTGAAAGGGTGATGGCGGCGCATGAGGGTTTTATATATAAATATAAAAATTTCCTACTTTACAACTGTTAAGGTTCGAGCCGTTGGATTCAATTACCTCTTATGGTTAGGATCTATCCTCGAAATTCAAAATTCTCCTGAAAGTCAAAGAACACCCCCCTTTCTTTTACCTCGAAGAACCCGTAATCTGCCATGAGAGCAGCCCTACTGCAGTTATGATGATACCCGCTGACGTCAGATAGTACAATTCTTTAAATAAGACCATCTCTTCCCCTATTTGTCCTTTGATTATTTTATTTCACTCGGACTTGGCTCAAGTCGACTCCAAGAGAAAGAGGCTAACTATTATGGGGTATATCTGTTCCACGAATATATAATCTCCTAAGTCAACAGTGACTAGCCAGACAAGCCGACACCCCAGTGTTGACACGAGGAGCGGTGATAATCGGTACCAGAGATCCTAACCTCCTAGACGAGTTGACATCTCTATATCGACTCGAGAAACGGTTGTTAGCTAGGACAAGACGATATTCCGACCAGTCGGACAAGCCGACACTCTTGTGTCGACACAAAAGGCGGTGTCAGTCGATACGAGAGTCAACGACTCAAAGATATGACATTATAGACCTTGCTTCTCGACGAAGCTAAGAGGTTATCCTTACCTCGAACCTATCGGCATAGGTGTTACTTCTCAACATTGTTTAATCTTTGATGATGATCATCATGTCTCCATCCTCAACAGTCTTGAAGACTCGTTGGACTACTAGTTACCAATGTTGTGGAAGTGACCTCTTGTCACTCACTAACCAACACATGTAGAGCAAATGATAACTCAACTTCTAGCTCACCATTCACCACCTTCTTACTGTACACTCATGAAGTAACCAATCTACCCTTAGCATCCCCTATAAATACAGATACTATTCATCATAGCTAAGTTCACAATCTAAAACCCCTTAAAGTACACACACACAGTTCCTTTTTAACCCCACTCAGGTTCATCAACTGACTTGATCGTTGGAGGTATCATGAGGGAACTCATCCCCGCCCTCTTACGACTCTTTTGTATGCAGATTGCTCGGCCATCCTAATTCCAGAACCAAGCATAAAGTCAAAGAAGAAAGTGCTCCCCCCTTTTCTTTTATAAACTCCATGACTTTAATTGGCTGTGTGATATTTAACATCAACAGGTTCGGTGGAAGGTGAGCAAGGAAGATCTCATTATCCACCAATGCTTCGCGAAGGGTTTTTCTTATTGATCGCGATAAGTGTAAGAGCTCAAACAAAGTGATCCTTGCTGGGATGTTGGCTAATTGAGCTAACACATTAAACTGAAAAGGACCATTCGAGCTCTCTAGAACATCCTTCCTGAGTGCCTTGATGTAACGAAGTTCCTTCGCCTTGGGATCATTAGGAGACACATGTACTTTATCCACCACCTCCTTCTCCGGCCTTGGCGGTGCAACTGTTGATTTAAGGTACTTCTTTAAATTAATACTCCTTTCCTCCACGGGTTCCTGATATCTGCACAGGTTGTGTGGTGAACGCTAGCTGCTCGTCTTCAGAACTGTTGAGGGACGTAGTTTCAACTTTCTCATCAGGAATGACGGACACAGCATTGCAAGATTTTTGCTTAGATTTGGATTTCTTCGAGTCTGCTGATGTCCATTGCCCATCCATTAGTAGGTCAGGATGAACCCATATGACTCCACCTTCGGAAATGGTATAAGGAACCATACCCTTCTCCTTCAGCTTATGAGGATCGAGGTTCATAATCCTGGTCTCTGTTTGAGGAATTGGCTTCACACCATCCTGAACTTGAACTTCTGCAAAGTCTCCAAACTGTAACGAGACCATATTTACCGACACCTTCTTCTGATCTGCCTGAAGGGTCATAACACCTGCATCCAACAAAGCATTGATCTTATCTTTCAGGATATAATATGCTTTTGTTGGGTGATACATCATCCTGTGGTACATGCAGTAGTTAGGATCATCTATCCTCGACACTTCTTCGGGTCGCCTCAAATCGAGAAGTTTGATCTTGTTTGTCTTTATCAGAGACTTGAGGATCGGGATGATATTTTCATCCCTAAAATCATACTTCTTCTGAAAATGGTTATCAGAAGAATTTCTCTTTTGCTTTGCAGAGGATTTAGGAGAAGGGTTGGTATCCACAGCCAAAGTGTCTTTTCTTTTTGATTGCTTTTGAGGGGTTGAAGTTGCCTTTATTTCCTCCCTTTTTGGAATGAGACTCTTGAGGTTCTTCAGAATCTATCCTCTTAAGCATATTATCAACTTGCTCTCCCTGTCAAACTAAATCTTTCCACGAACGAGCTTTAACTGCGCCCATCTTTGATAGTATGTTGATAAAAAGATTGTTTCAGCACATCTCCACAAGGGTTACTTCCGAGACTTGATCACATGAATGCAACGATCGATTTTTAAATCTTTTGACAAAGTTATTAATGGACTCTGTCTTTTCCTGCTTCTTCGCCAATAGTGTGGCCATAGACACCTCGGTGTCATCATCAAAGAACCTAGCCAGGAAAAGTTTTTCTAGATCCCTCCAACATTTAATAGATCCATGCTCTAATCTGTGAAACCATTCAAAAGCAACCCCTTTTAGGGTACTAATAAATAGTCGAGTCATTATAGGGTCATTCCCCACTATGTGTCTAGTCTACACCTAGAAATAGTAAATATGTTGGATAGGAGAACCCTTGCCATCAAATTATACCAAATTAAGTAGCTTGAATTTCAGGAGATATGGGATGGTATCCTATTCAACTGGATAGGGTCTAGCTACCCCCAAGTCTTTGAAGTTTCCTTGGAGCTTTAATGCGTTAAGTTGCTTTTGAAAATCATCTAATTTTGGTCCCATACTTTTGTACGAGGATTGGATTCAGCTTCAGATGATTCAGAATGAATATACAAAATTTTTTCCTCCTCATATTCTTCATCATTGTCACCTTGATTTCAATGGCTATTTTCTTCATCGATGAGTGAAGGTCGCCTAGGACTTGATCCTGAGGCTTGGGGATGGACTTTCTTCTTTTTCTGTTGTTTCTCCCCGAGGAGTCTCTCTACCATTGCTTCCAAGCGTCTGATAGATTCATGTTGTTATAGGATGATTGATTGTTGCTCTTTCATCTTCCTTGCTATGTCTTCCTCACTTCTAGCCATGTGAGTACTTGTATATTCATTTTGATCGGTATTGGAAGGCTGAGAGGTTGTGATGGTTGAGTTTTCAAGTTCTTCGTCAGCCTCGTCTGTAATGCCTGCTAGTCTTCGGTAGTCAAGTAGGATCTCCACACCAATATGAGTAAGAGTGTGCCGATACACTCCCTGTCCATCAACAAGCATTTCACCTAATCCTGGAGAGTACTCAGGATCAGAAGATTTAGAAGAATCAGTCGAGACTTGGCTCTTGCCCTTGCTAACCATATTAATCGTCACTTCAATGTGTTGATTATTAGGTGCTTGTTTCTTGGGATGAAAACGTCTTCTCTTGGATGATGAAATCATTAATGGCTCAGTCAATCATTCGAAAACTGAAGACTTTTGTGTCGACTCCCCACATGGGCATTGGGAAAGCATTGTAGAGATAAGCTTCTCACAACAGTAATAAGATTGCATTTGACTCATGCTACATTTGTGTGTGAGATAATCACAGATGTTAACAATAGGACTACCCCCAACTGGCTCTGTTGACTTAGTTACCCGAGTGAGACCCTCTAAATGATAGAGGTTGACGAACTTGGGTAGCTAAACGAACTTCATCATTC